TTTCTGTCTGAGAATAAGGGGAGATATTGGAAGAGGGGCCAGTGATGGTGACACACAGACTTCTGATCACACTCACCACTTAATGCACCCCTTTCTCTGCAGAGACGAGGGGGGTATGACCCGCCCCCAGGAGCCAGCAGCATTTTGGGACTCGAGGCATCTGGACATGTGGCAGAGCTGGGGCCTGGCTGCCAGGGGCACTGGAAGATCGGGGACTCAGCCATGGCTCTGCTGCCGGGAGGGGGCCAGGCTCAGTATGTCACTGTCCTTGAAGGGCTCCTCATGCCCATCCCAGAGGGACTGACCCTGACCCAGGCTGCAGCCATCCCAGAGGCCTGGCTCACCGCTTTCCAGCTGTTACATCTCTTGGGTGAGGAGGTCCACCATGCTCACTCAATACAATGTGGCTCAACTGCTTCAAACCCCAGCTACCTCAAACCCCAGCAGTCCTCCAGGGTAGTTTTGGCCTGGCCACTTATCTACAACCAGCCTCCACACCCTACCCTCTTGTATCACCAGTAATGTCAGGTCCTCAAACCACACTGGAATGGTTTGATGTTGAGGCTGAGAAACATGATTAGCAGATAGAAGTCCTGTGCACATCTTAACACTGTGAGCCAGCAGCAGTCCCAGCTTCCCCTAAATCGTGCTGAGCTTCTCTTTGAGGGCCCCAGTGCAGCAGAAGGGACTGGTCAGTCGACTCTTTTATTCCTCCCCAGTCCCACTGAGGCCAAGAGCTCATGTGAGGGAGGCTAAGAAGACTTTGTCCTTTCCTTTATAGAGCTCAGTGTAACTGGGAAAATGACACATGCACAAGAATCAGACAACCATAGAGTTCAGAAGGGTAGCACTGTCTCTAACTATAATAGTGACTCAAGTTGGTGTGGGTAAGGGTGGTCAGAAAAGGCTTTTTGGAAGAGAAGGCCTTGAAGGATGATGAGAGTTGTAATGGACAGAAGGAATGCCAACGGGGCCTAAGAAAGAGTGTTAAGGTGAAACAAGCTGCTCCACTCAGAAGCAAAAGATGACTATTGACATTTTTGAAAGATGAGGCTAGGGCCAGAGTATAGTGGCCTTGAATGCCAGGCTGTCTAGACTCAATACAGAAGCCAATGGAGAATCATTTTACATTTTAAGGTAGAAGTAACATAATGAAAGCTCCATTTTAGGAGGAGGAGTCTGGTGGCTGTGTGTAGTGCCTGGATCTGTGAGACCATATGGAGCCTTTTAGCCTTCAGGCTAAAGAAGGACTGGCTTAAGGTGGTGACAGAATAGTGGCTATTCTTACTTATACAGGTGTAGATCAAAGATGTGCATTTTGGTGTTATTTCAAAGATAAAACAGAGATTATGAATGTGGCTTCTAATAGCCCTGTTTCAAAAGGTTATTTCCCACTTTGACCAGAGGCAATGAGACAAAAAAGAACTGTCAGTATGCTCTCTTAAGAAAGCAAGAGATTTGGCATTTGGTCCAAAGGCCAGGTGATCATGGTAGAATATGCCAGTGTAGGGAATGTGCAGCAGTTGCAAAGTAAAGAGAACATTCCTGTAATTTCTGTCCCAGGAAACATTCAGGCTGGAGAAACTGTGCTAATCCATGCAGGATCGAGTGGGGTGGGCACAGCTGCCATCCAACTCGCCCAGATGGCTGGAGCTATTCCTCTGGTCACAGCTGGCTCCCAGCATAAGATTCAAATGGCAGAAAAGCTTGGAGCAGTTGCTGGATTCAATTACAAAGAAGAGGACTTTTCTGAAGCAACATTGAAATTCACCAAAGGTAAACAACTGCTTCTGTAGCCCAGCAGGAATTTAAGAGATGATTAAATAAAATCCCTACCAGCACCAAGGTTGCCAGTGATCAGGGTCGATCTTGAATAGCTGCCCTGGCCAAATTCTAGGACTCTGGTGTTTGACCACTGGAGACAGGCAGTCAGTATTTAGGTCTAAGATGGTTTCCATGTGCATTCTTCAAATGATATGATTCATACACAACTTTAGAAACTGGAGGGGCCGGCCCGGTGGCGCGCTGGATAGTGCGCTGCTTGGGAAGCAGGGTGGCGCTCCCGTCCGAGGGTTCGGATCCCACATACAGACCGGCTCCCGCTCACTGGCTGAGCGAGGCGTGGGAGCAACACCGAGGCTTGC